AGAAAAAAAAAAAAAAAACATACACACACACACACAACTCACACAAAATTAAAGGAGACTTGTAGAAAACTTTGAAGTAATTGCATTAGCTCTTTGAAGTAATTGCATCAGCTCTTTGCATGGGATGGAATTTTTGGCGAATTACAGATCTCTTTGTAAACAAATCCGCAAATAGATTCCTAAATCAAGAGTGCAGCCATAAAAAGCATAATAGATAGATAATATTAACACATTAGTTTTCGTGTCCACAAATAGATTCCTAAATCTTTAACTAAGATGAAGCAGATGCAAATTGATATCAACTGGAAAAAGTTGGCATCAGCTGTCAATTTTACAACTTCACAGTGAAGCATAAAACTCAGTTAGAACTGCTACACAATAACTTCTAAACTATCAACCAGACTGTTGGAATCATAATTCAATCTACAAGTTCAGCCATATCACGATAAACACACACGAGCAAGCAATCATTGCGTTGCAATTCACTGAGGTACGCACGAGTATATTCTCAGATGGAACACTTTTTATCTAAACAATAATCAGAAGAAAAGGCAATTTGTTTTTTTTTTTTTTCTCAGACAAGAGGTGGGTACTGCTTTGCCTGGCTTCGAACCCTCTTCTTGTATTCAACGGGATCCTGCATTATTCACAAAAACTTTGAATTTCTATCCAAAGCAAGAGCCTACATTGGCAGCTAACTTTTTTCTGCCCAAGTAATAACTAACAATTTCGTTTGTCATGATTACGGTTATCAGATGGCCCCATGTACATGAAAAGCAAGTTGCAACAAGTCTTAGCAGAGAGGGAAAAATGAAAAAAAACAAAATAAAATTTTTACAGAAAATTTCATGGACAAATAATGAGAACCCCAAAATTGGCCTACACACATCAAGACGGATGACAAATGCAAGATAAACAATTCAACAAACATAAAACTTATTTATGTTTTAGGAAAATCAAGATGAATTAATTGCAGATTTTCTTAAATGACGAGTTATTTATGTTAGCCAATTTAGTATTCCTTTTCCCAATACCATTTGATTGGAGAGTCGAATGATTTCTTCTTGGAATTTGAATCAATAACTATTTAAACCTTTTATATTTTTTTTAAACATAAGGACATGTTTTGTTACTATGTGAAAGAACTATGATGACGAATAGAATGAAAGAGGGAGTACTTTCATTATTTAAAGTATGAAGTTCTGCAATAAAGTAGGGAATTTTTGCTTCATTAGTATGATGTGAATATAACCTTTACATGTGGGGGGTCTCATCACATGTGAAAGAACTAAGATGACGAATAGAATGAAAGAGGGAGTGCTTTCATTGTTTAAAGTTGAGCTTTTGCAATAAAGTAGGGAATTTTTTGTTTTCATTAGTATGATGTGAATATAACATTTTCATGAGGGGGGTCTCATCACAATAGTTTTTGCATTGAGGAAAAACTTATATTACCTGTATAAAGAGATGGTACCCCTCTGTTTGTGCTGGGTCAGCAGGATTCGGCTGGTCCAACAAATCCTGTATTCCCACCAGAATTTGCTTCACTGTTATAGCCGGGCGCCACCCCTAAAGATCCAAAACATAAAGAGGAAAAAAAAAATTCACATAACAAACAATATCATGTGTGTGGCAGCAATGCATACCCAGAATAATGCACTTACACTGTCTTCATTGAGGATTGACAAACAAACAGTCCCAGATGGGTACACATTAGGATGAAAAAAACCTTGAGGAAATTTGCACTTGGGCGGTTTGCTAGGGTAGTCTTCACTAAAGTGCATCGTGAGCGGGTAATAACCACCCTCCCAATCAGTCTGTGAATTCAAGCAATCGAATTCACATGTCAGTCATAAAAAGAAAGAAACTGTACATAGGAGATACCCATATGTATTACTTAAGTTATGTAGATCCATTCAAACTAGCTCTGGATTGGTGAGTTCTAGCTAGAAAAAGAACCTAACTCATGCTGAAACATGTAGCTCCGACTAATTGGACTTCCCAGTTACCCAAAAGAACCGTAAAATTCAGTTTAAAGTTAAAGAATCCACAAACCAAAAATTCATGCTGCACACAGTTAAATGCTAGATTAGGCACACGCATAAGCATTATAATCTCGTGGGACAGATAAGAGAGAGAAAATACTGAGCTAAGAAATATCACAACAATGTTATAGCACATCACTCAGTGAGTTCTCAAATTGATATAGATAAATAAATATATAAAAGGAGCATAAATACCAATCAAGAAGTGATAATCTCTTTTCTTCTAAGCTAATTAGTTGAAAAACAGAGAGGTGGGAAAGACCAAATGCAGATTCTCTCACTTTGACCTGCTCGTCACTTTAGTGCTATCATAATCACTACACTGTTGAACAGCTCTTAGACAGTGACCAGTCATTTAGGAAAATATGACTCAGTCACGACACTCATCTATAGTGTGCCTTGCGCATGTGTGTGTGAGAGAGAGGTAATCACATCAATCGATGAGCCCCCACAATATTCAATTATTAACCACATTTTCCTAATGAACAGTATTTCTTTTTTTTTTTTCATAAACAAATGATCACATTGTCTATTCTAAATTTTACACAAGTTCGATAATCCGTTGTCAATGTTAGAACAACAGATTATTGTGTTGGCTAGGGTGAAAAAGGCCAATGACTAATTTAAAGTTTAAAAAGTAAGCCGGGGGATGACCCTCCGCACATCTTATAACTTAAGATGTCTTTTCCAATTCAATCTGTTCCCTTATATATGAAAATCAAATCAGCCAATAAACAAAGTCCAAAATAGTTCAACCATCAATCAAAACTAGGTCAAATCAAAACCAGATTCTCACTTTTTTTTTTCAGCAAGTTGTGCACTGTACTACAAGAGTAAAAGTCCGAAACTAATTCCTTGTTGCCAGTACAAGGCTACAGCACAAAGCAATACACACACACACACACCAAGTTTAGAGACCTTCCCAAGACATAAAACAATTAGCAAGTGAAAGCTCTTGGCAAATATTAATCTATATATAGGCTTTTGATTACATCATTTAAGAACACCGTATGTATTCCAGTCATCCGATTACATCATTTAAGAAATAAAACAAATCCGTACAGCAAGTGTGCGCGATACTTACCCCAGCCTTACCAGGGATAGTGCAGTGCCACACCATCAAATTCACAGTACCATCAGGCAGCGACTCTGGTTTAGCCACAAAACCCTTCAAAACAAATACACAAAAGACAATCGAACTCAGAATTCATCACACACATACACCCAAAAACAGGAAAGACAAGTAAAAATCGAACCACCAAATGAAAGAATAATTGATAAAAGAAGAGATCGAACATGAGGATGATTCTTCCTCCAAGCCTTGCGTTCTTCCGTGAGCCGCCCGCGCGCAATTCCACCGGACATTCTTATCAAATCTCACACTTTTTCTCTTACTCTCGTTCTGGAGTGAATGAATTAACAGCGATTTTGGGAGAAGCGTCGGCTAGCATATTTTAAATGGGGAGAGAGGAGGAGAGAAGTTGAAAGTGCTGGGTTAGGTTGCATGAAACGTCTGATGCAGAATGCGATTTTAGGAATCCTAGCGTGAAAACCACGCCATTAGGTTTGACTTTAAAACTTAAAAGTGACTTCTCGTAGAAAAACGCGTGGGACTGCAAGTTGCAGTTGATTTTTAGGCTTTTAAGTTTTAAATTTTAATTCAACTTTTTGTATGTTTTCATTAGGGGAAATAATTTGATTGGTAAATAAAAGTTAGTAGAAGAATTAATATTTTTTATGTTAAGTGGTGTGACATAAGAAATAACAATTAATAATATAAGTTAATGAAAAAGTAAAATAATGATTGTTAATTGTTTAAAGATATTTAAAAATATAGATAGAGAAGTAAAAATAAGTTATTAGGTTTAAAAAAATTTGAGATAGATTAGAATGATGAACGAATATAAGAAAATGATATAATGATTATAAGTTTACGTAATATTAAAGTAACAAAACATTACATAATAAAATTGATAGTTAGAATTGTGTGAGTTAATAGACTTATAAACATAATTCCCATTGCTTAATGTGGACTTGTGAGGATCACATTTGTTTGTAGATAACACTCTGTATGATTATTCTTTCTTTGTAATTATTTTTTCACAATGAACGGAATAAACTTTGTTTGGAAATACTTTTTTTTTTAAATGGGCTTATGGATACAAAAGTTGTTCGGATAAATATTTATGGTTAGTGTTAAATTAAGAATGAAATCTGAAGTACTAAAAGCTATAAAAACTCACGCTCTAGCTGATTTTATTCAGGAGTGCATAGTGGATAAAGAAGCCGGTCAGTGGATGATGTATATGGATGGCTCCTCGGCCATTGGAGGAGCAGGTCTGGGCATATTAATCAATGCCCAAGTGGGATCACTTGGATTTTGCGATAAAACTATCTTTTAGGGTCTCGAACAATAAGGCATAATATGAAGCTCTTATCAAGAGAATCTAGCTTGAGACAAAGGAAGGTGGCAAACAAGTACTTATCCACTCCAACTCAGCTCGTCTTCGAGCAGGTAAAGGGCAAATACGAAGCCAAAGAAGATCGTATGCGAAAGTACGTCGCAGAGCAGATATTTAACTAGTGCAACTTATGAGGCAGCGCGATTCACGAGCAATAACGTCAGCCTGACGTTCTGATTGACAGGAAAGCAAGACTGATGGAAAAGAGATTTAAAATTCAAATGCTGAAGTGAGAATTAGAGAGAAAAATGGGCGAAAATCAAAAGGTGCACGTAAAATGGTCAGAGGATTAAATAATGGATATAAACCGAGGACATGAAAAAATATCTACTCTTTGATTGGGTTATTTAAACTCGACCAGAGTAGGGGGGACTAGATGATATGGGATACTATACTCAAGGGAGTAAACTGGTCGAGTCGACTGAGCAAATCGCCTGGTCGAGCAGGATCCGAACATCTCGGGATTAAGAGCCTCTGATCCGAAAGATAGCTTAAAGGGAAATTCAGTATATGGAGAATAGGTCGAGTCAGAACCCTCGGATAGCCTGGTCGAAACTCGACCTGTATAAACGAATGGTCGTATCGACCAAAGTCCAAACTCGAAGCAGCCGACGCTTTACCTCAAACTGACCAGAGTTGGTCGAGCCCTAAAAAATAAGACGGAATTTTGGGATTTAAGCCTCACATGGGCAAACCCACATGGCACCACACCATTGGTGCACGCCTCATAACTGTCTCTGACACATTCTGACAGAGGAATCGTACTATCGGGCAGCTCGAGCAGCCAGCTCATCACATCCGGCAGCCTTCTAGAAACAGGTACCTCATCCCTATATATAGGGTGAGATGCACATTTTCAGGAGGACATTGATATTACTTTGTATTTTTCCAGAGTTCATCTTCTGCACACACTCATTTAAGCATCGGAGGCTCTTCACTGAAAAACTCCTTCGATGTGAGAGTTTTTGTAGGTCGAAGGCGTTCAACCAACGAGGGAGCATGCGAGCAAGTCGATTCTCAGCCGGTCGGAGGTTTTTATGTACCATATTCGATATGGAAAATGTCAAAACCAACGATTACTATTCAATTGGGATTTGAGTCGAATGCTCTGTCAGCCCTTGTTGCCTTGGCTCTTTTTACCATGCAAGTTGTCCAACGAGAAGATAATTGATTTATAGAATAGTAAAACGAAACTAAAAATGTTTTTATTGGATAATTTGATAACTCTTTTTTTTTTATACAAGATAATTTGATAACTCTGATAAATGAGCGTGTTATTTATTCAGGGGAACCGTTAATGATATGCCCAAAATCAAATACTTATTTTAGTGATACAACCTCTTCCAATTATATCCAATTTTTACGCCCTAATTGTAACTCCAAAAAACTTACTACACGAAAACAAAAATATTATATTCAAAATTATGAATTATTCTCTCATTTATTATCTAAATTCTATCATATCTTCTCAAATTTGGTAGGTACAAAACTTTGTATTTTTTAAAGTTACAGGCCTTTTTTTTTTTCGATTGCAACCCCAAAAGAAATTTTCATTCTCTTAATATTACCACTTCATTTAATACAATTAAGAAATCATGGTAGCTATCCACCTCAGGAATTTATGTTTACAAAATGTAGAGCAAAATTACTTTAGGGAAGAAAACTATTAGGCCATCTCCAGCCCTTCTCTCTACTCTAGCGCGAGTTTTACACTACACTCTAGCGCGAGTTTTACACTACTCTAGAGTAGAGTGAAACATTCATCTCCAACCCTTATCTCTATATTTTACTCTACATCAAATTTATTATCTTTTTTATTCATTTTTATTTTAAATAAATTCTAGTATATGTATATTTCATCTTATATTCATTTTTGGTAGTATTTTAATATTAAAAAATTATAAAATATAATTAATATACATCAATTTTAATAGTAAAAAAATGCAAAATTAAATTTATTACACATCAATAAATAAAAAGCACAAAGTTATTTAACATAATAAATACATTTATTACATATTATAGAAACAATTACCAATAATATATATATATATATGTATATATATATATATATATAAAGGAAATGATAAAAAAAAGGAAGATCTAGCGCAACAGCAACAGTATTGCGCCAGATGTGGAGATATACTGTAGATATCTTTGTTGTGGCGCAAAATTGTAGAGATGTACTGGAGGAGTTTCGCTGCGCAATTCTAGAGTAAAACTCTAATCTGACGCTGCATTGGACATGGTCTTAGACCAGTACCACTACCGTGTGCCCTGGCACACCTAGCTAGGTGTGCCAGGGTAGTATTACACGCGCCCCTCACTCTCAAAAAGCTAGAAAATTTAGAAGGTGTAGTGCACTCTCCAATTTTTCTTTTTTAATGACAAAATGAGACATATTACATAAATTAAAATATCATTAATTATTTATATTAAAAAAATAAAATAAAAATACTAAAATTCATAATTTTTCATTACCTATAAATAGAGACCACATTTGATAGGTTTTTGAACACAACTAATTTTCGTTTTTTGGTAACATGTTCACCTTATTGTGTATGTAACATGTTCATTTTATTCTATAACATGTTCATTTTATTATGTAACATGTTCATCTTATTCTATAACATGTTCATCTAATTTTCATCTGTGAAAATGTAACATTTTCATCTTATTAGAGAGGATTTTGGTTTGTGAAGGTGGAGGATATTCGATCGAAAGACTAATTTATGGAATTTCTTTTACATTCTACTAGTTTTTCACTTTCATTCCCTATAGTATGACTATTGCATAAATTTGAGTTCTTATCTGTAGATTATGGTTTATTATTTCAGGGCGGAGATGCTTGCATTAAACGAGTGAAAGTCGAGCAAGAAATTGACCAGAATTTTATATATGAAGTAGAAATTGGAAAAATAATGTGAGAGCCCGTGATGTAGATATGGAATCTAAACATGTTCATCTTATTCTATAACATGTTCATTTTATTATGTAACATGTTCATCTAAATTTCATCTCTGAAAAATGTAACATTTTCATCTTATTCTATGACATGTTCATCTTACTCTATAACATGTTAATCTTACTATGTAACATATTTATCTAATTATATATTTGCGTCATAATCTTTCAATAAGATAAATTAATTGTTAAAAATGATAAATTTATTGTGTTCCAATGTTCATATGTTCATCTTACTATATAACATGTTCATATGTTCATCTTATTTTATAACATGTTCATATGTTCATCTTATTGTGTAAATATGTAACATGTTCATCTTATTCTATAACATGTTCATCTTATTATGTAACATGTTCATCTTATTGTATAAAATGTTCATCTAAATTCTATCTATAAAATTATAACATTTTCATCTTATTCTATAACATGTTCATTTTACTATATAACATGCGCATCTTAGTATGTAACATGTTCATCTTATTATATATTTGTGTCATCACCTTCCAAAAAGATAATTTAATTATAAAAAATGATAAATTAATTGTGTTCCAAAACTTATCAAATGTGGTCTCTATTTGTAGAGATTGAAAAATTATGAATTTTGGTATTTTTATTTTTATTTTTTAATATAAAATGTGAAGAATAATTTAATTTATATAATATGATATGTAAAATTTATTATCCAATATATATTGGACACTTGTCTTTTTTAAACAAAAAAAAAAAAACTTGCATACCTTATTACCTTACCTCACACGATTTTAAGAGAGAGTGCATTTCACACATGCCCTGGCACACCTAAGTATTTGCCGTCTTAGACGGCCTCCTTAAATTTTATGTACCAGTTTACTATCCAAAAGTTACAAGCCCTTATTTTATCTTGAATATTTTGCTAATTTATTTATAAATAAAAATAAATCTTACAGCATCTGATTAAGCTTTAAATGCTGCATCTCATGACACCCAAATTTCCCTCATTTTTAGCGTGACATTGCATTCTTTCCCTGTAAACACGAAATAAATCTGACGTCTTAACTCACCTGATAAATGACCATTAACCTAATAAAAACCAAACTAATCATTATTCAAAACACCTACTAGGAGTACTATTTACTAAACTAAACCCCCATCTCAAAAGGTAAATTCCAATATTACCCTTCATCACATCTACTGCCTATTTGACACGTGTACTCCCGTGACCAATTTGGACCCTAGACTCTCTCCGACCGTGTCCGAAATTTCAACTTATTCGGTTTCCCCCCCTTCAATTATCGAAATTTTCTATTTGCGCACCCGTTTTCTGTGGCCTTTTTGATTTACGGCCGAAGAAAATGGAGAGAGAGACGGAGAGAGAGAGCTGGTGAGATGGTAATGGCAGCTGACACCTGACAGTGGCTAACAATTGAATCGTGAGCTCAAAGAAATCTTCTCAATTAAACTCAGTTTTTCCCACCCAACGCCCAATCACCCTACTCAACCCCTCCATTACTTTGAAGCTACTGTTTCTCTCTTAAAATTCGCATTTTCCGTGAGCAAATTGTAGTTGTTGGGTTGTTGCCGGAGGAGGGGAAGTTCACAGAATGAAGCAGCTAACCGCCCTGCAGCAGCAAGGCCGCCGGAGCAACAGCTTCCGGGGCGCGTCGTCGCCTCTGGACGCCACCGTCGACGGCGCAATCAAATCGCCAGTGACAATCTTCTGGCTGCTCCTCCACGGCCTGTGCTGCTTGATTAGCTTGGTCCTCGGCTTCCGGTTTTCTCGGCTCGTGTTCTTCCTCCTCTTCTCCGCTTCCTCTTCCCCCTCCGCCAAAACCAGCATATACTCCACTCTTCACACGACGGTGCCGTCCTCCGCGGTGCCGGAGAGGAACTTTTCCAGAGTCGGCGGCGGGAGCAGGGTGGTGGTCGGAAGGCACGGGATACTGATTCGGCCATGGCCGCATCCGGATCCGGCTGAGGTGATGAAGGCACACCGGATTATTGAAAGGGTTCAGGCGGAACAGAGGTCTCAGTACGGGGTTAAGAATCCCAGAACTGTGATTGCCATTACGCCAACTTATGTACGCACTTTTCAGACTCTGCACCTCACCGGCGTGATGCATTCCTTGATGAATGTGCCCTATGATCTCATCTGGATCGTGGTAGAAGCCGGCGGCCCCACCAACGAGACCTCGTCACTGATCGAAAAGTCGGGATTGAAAACTATCCACATCGGATTTTACGGGAAAATGCCTCTTCTATGGGAGGATCGGCATAAACTTGAATCGAGGATGAGGCTCCACGCTTTAAGGTATCTTCGCGTTTGTATTTCCCAACCATACTTCTAATAATTTGTCTGTAGAACGTAGTTTTTCATGTTTCGATATGTTTTGAAACGTGCAGAGTAGTTAGAGAGAAGAGATTAGACGGGATTGTGATGTTTGCCGATGACAGTAATATGCACAGTTTGGAGTTGTTTGATGAGATTCAGAATGTGAAATGGGTGGGTGCAGTTTCAGTTGGAATTCTTGCGAAAGTGGGCAGTTCAGAAGAAGAAGTAGAATTGCCTGTAGATCAGATAGACGAAAATGGGAAAGACGAAAAGAAATCACAGTTACCGATTCAAGGCCCGGCTTGCAACTCTTCAAACCAATTAGTCGGCTGGCACACGTTCAATACTCTGCCATTTGTGGAAAGACGGGCGAGGTATATTGGTGACAGGGCAGTTGTGCTGCCGAGAAAGCTCGAGTGGGCTGGGTTTATATTGAACTCAAGGTTGGTGTGGGAGGTAGCAGAGGAAAAGCCAACTTGGGTTAAAGATTGGGAAGAGGTTGATAGGAATGGGGAGGATATAGAGAGCCCGTTAGCTTTGTTGAAGGATAGTTTGGTGGTCGAACCTCTTGGTAGCTGTGGGAGGAAAGTTTTGCTGTGGTGGCTGCGCGTGGAGGCAAGGGCTGATAGCAAGTTCCCTCCGAGGTTTGTCTTCTTTGCCTTTTTTGGTGTAGAACCTGAATATTTGCGAATGCTTGCTGAGTCTAGTTCTTAAATTTTGTTTGTTCTGTCTTAAATTATGCTTGAGTAGTTCAGTTTCTTGAAGCTTGTGTTGCAAGATTATGCTTGTGGTTTTTTTCGTAACTATAGATCATATTTCTAAAGATTTGACGTTCTATTGATTAGCCAAAGTTCTGTGGACTGACCGAAGCATTTGGGTTAACAGTAATTTGTTAGGTTGGCTTGTATTGTTCATTCGGAGGGTTTTAGCGTGGCAGTGGTTTTTGAGTTAGGTGCCTTTTAGTAAGATTCTTCTTAGTAAGGTTGGTTTTTGTAGTAATTTTGACCTTCATATGCATTTCAACTCTCTTCCAAAATTATACATTTACTAGTTTATTATAGTATATAATGGGAAAAAGTTTCTGGGTGCTGGTTCTGGAATGTAGGAACTCAGATGTTATTTGATGTATGCTTGGATAGTGGACACATACTCAATTTTATTAAAACATTGAACAATTATCGATCAATGTACCCTGGTGTACTGTTAATATTATGCAGCATCTCAAAGACCATGTATATTTCCAGATGAAAGTTACGTGGCAACAATAAAATCCATAATGATGTGGCCAACTTTCTGTTAAGCTGCAGTTAGGGGGGATAAACATAAACTCCTTAAGCTTCATTAAAATTTATTAAGGACATTATCTTCAGCAAGAAAAACCTAGGCGTTGTTTGATCACCAACCAAGCAATACATCTATGCTTTCCGGTGCATTTCTCTTTCTACACACATTTCGTGTAACTGCGCCAGTAGCTCTACCACTCATTTCTCAATCGATCACCAAATAAAGTCCTAATTTCTTTGATCTATGTATGGGGCATAGATGTAGATTAATGTCTTAAGCACTTGATAGGGTGAACATTTTTTCCTAGATGTATAGAGAGGGATTTCTCCCCATGATATATAGTGAGCTAGTAATAGAATGGCCGGCAAATGTACTATGTGTATTATACTCAGGTTTGTAATACATTCTTAAGAAAGTATATTCCATTGAAATTGTCATTCACTGGTTTGTAAAATGGTTTGCATAAATGTTCACACGGAGTATGGTATTTCTCTTTCTTTCTTTTTGTATGCTTCAAGTTGGTGGAAGGTGTTACTTTCCACTAAACTCCACTTTCTAAACTGTAGCTTGCTAGTTTCTTTGCATTTTTTGGTTGGAACACAATATAAAAACTGCACACCCCATTTGTCCCTTTCCTAGCATTATTTATTTTTTCTCAATGGAAATCAAGTTCTCTGACTCTGAATATAATTTTTACTTCAGCTCTTCATGGCTAAAAATGTTTGACATAGACTGATACTTCTATCTTACGGAGCAATGGATTAGGCTTATAATTTTAACTGTTGTTCTCCGATGATGCCTATCTTTCTACCAATAATACTAGGTCAATAAGATAAGCCAAGATGAAGGTAAAGGTCTATTTTGCCTATAATCTGCTGCAAGTTGTCCAAACACTTAGTGCAACACTGAGTGGAATCATTATCACATTTATCTCTATTGTCTTTTATGGTTGAAATTATAGCATCTTCTAATTTTTTTTTTTGAAATCTTTTATCCATTGATTATTTTTACATTAGAGGTAAATTGTTCGATAAGGAACCTGTAGACACCTATAGATGTTAAGTGTCCTTTATCACTTATGGGTGAGAGCTAAAAAAGCTGCTTCCATGGCTAAACCATTTTATTATTAATTTCTTTGGAAGCTTATTCTGACAGTTCTTCATCGAGACAAATTAAAATGAGGAAAATTGCAAAACTAACCCCCAAGTTTGCGATAGAGACAATAATCTTGCTTATAGACCATGGTAAATTTTGAAAAAGTTGGTTGAGTTAAGTTTGAGCGAGATTATGAATATATTAAAATAATATTTAAAATAAAATGATTAAAGTTGATTTTATATAAAAGTAGGATAAAAGTGATTGGAACTGATGAGTAGTTAAAAAATTATGTGAGTGGGTTGCAACAAAAAAAAATAATGTAAATGGGTGAATAGTGAATTGAAGTTGATGTGATGTGTAAAGATGATTAATTGATATTATTTAATTATATTAATAATATTGAGGATAGTGGGGTTGAGTTAAAGTTGAGTTAGAATGTTAGATTTGAGTTGGGATTGAATTTTTTTGGAAAAAATTTACAAACAAGCAAGCACAAACAACCCACAGGAAATGAGTATTAAGGTTTGGTTCTACTATTGCAACTTGATATCAGTTTTAGATGTAGTCATTGATGGGAAAATAAAAATGCATATTCGTTTATGTTTTCATATATACTAGTATAACACCCATGTATTACATGGGTGGGGATGGTGTCTCATCTCGTCATAAAAGTGGGATGGGTATGCGGACAAGTCAAATTCAAGATCGTGCCGGACCGCGCCCACCCCTACCATAAATAATCAACATATTTATAGATAATCCAAACCTATCCAAGCCTAATAACGAAGCATGTAATTTTGCCACATAGGATCCCGAAGCATGCGAGCCTGCCACATAGGCTCAACACGTTCTCAATTAATATATAGTGGGGATTATTCAGTCAGCTTTCTAAACAAAAAATTTGCTATGTCAAGCAGATGGATAATCGACCCTCCCCTTGAAATTACTGTGCCGGCAAAACGCACCCCATGGCCTGATGCTCCTCCTGAACTCCAATCCACCATTGAAAAAACGATTGTTATGCCTGAGATCACTGAAAAACGCCCGGCAAAGAGTGGATCAAGAAGAAAGCGCAATTCAAGAAGCAAGAAGAAGCATAGTTCAAAAGTGCTGGACGAGCAAATTACAGCTAGGAGTGCTGGGGATAATTAGAATTTTTTATTACTTCTTTCTCCATCGAGTGATGATCTGAAACTTTATACCACTATGTGAATGAATTCTTGGTGTCGTATTTGGCAGGCTTTCCAATATTAGAAACAAAGAGCCATGAAGACAAAAAGGCCCCTGGGAAGAATGCAGGAAGAAGGCATGTGTTCGCGTATACAATAGCCAGTTGATACATACTTGAGACAACTTCTTTCTTCTTTCTTTTTCTTCCTTTTTTTTTTTCGGATCTTATTCGTGTCTCTCTACTGTGAAGTATTTTTCTGCCTTAGCTCATTTTTTGTGGGGTGGTTTGGTTAGAGTTTGCTTGGGCTTTTAATTCTCGAGACATTTTCTGCTTGGTGGAATCTGTGTATTTACTTTCTCCAAGGTGTTATACGTAATTTTTCAAATGAATTCATTATTTTTTTATTTTTTTTTTGGAAATGCAAATTTGATGCGAGATCTATCCAGTAAACTGTATTCTTTTTCGTTTGTTTTTTAAGCCATTGCTTTACGTTCAATTTTTCTGCCAGTGATTAGATCTTTGATCGTACCTTCCCAGCTTTGTGTTGTGTTGAAGAAATATAAAAAGGAAACTAAAAACAGACTGCTTTCCAAAGGAGAAAGGAACATATTTATACTTGATCATGTGTCCTATCTTCCACGGTTCCACCTTAGTCATCATACACAGAACAAATCCAGTAGCAAAAGAGAATTGGCCAGAAGACAGACACATCAAATACGCTGAAGAATGTCAAGACAAAGGCAATGCAGAAGGCTTCGAGTACCTTCATACGAAACAACAATCAACTTTTACGAAAAGATAAAATACAATTAAATGATAGTATGATACTCACGTATGAGACATATGACATTATCTAAGAAATGCTTGGTTTGGTGTTGATGGACATCGTTTCAGTTTTAACTATTACAAATCTGAAGTAATGTTTGTGTTCCCCAATTCTCACTACAAATTTGCCCACCAAGTTTTGAAATGTCTATTCGATATCCAATTATAACATTTAACTTCACTAAATTCAAGCATATAAGAATATTGGTTTGACATCGTCCGACAAGCCTAAATGTTTTTTAGAAAATTTTCTTGGTAGCCAAGCAAAATAAATAAAAGGGAAGTTTTCTATTTATNAATATGAATCAAGGAAAGGAAGTGTATATATTTTTTGGGGATTGTTCATGGTGGTAAAAAGAGTTTTCAATTGTATGATTTGGAAAGTGGGGATTGTTTCGTGGCTAGGAATGTTATGTTTTTTGAAAAAATATTTCCATATAATTCACAAAAGAAAGATATTGTGGTGATACAACATACTATTGAGGATGATAACATTTCATCAGAAAAATTGAGGAATGTAATTGTATCAAGTGTAATGTCAAACGTGTTAAGGGCATCCACAACGCCCGTTTTTTCATATGCGTACAAACGGCCCCCTCGCGTTCATCTGGATGCGGCGCATTCATTATAGAAGGGGTCCATTTTACCGTTCAGTGGATTGAACGCTAGTTCTTTTTTTTGTTTTAAATCTTATTTTTTGTAATTGTACTATAAAATTATTTTTTGTAATTGTACTATTTTTTTTTTCTTGTGTAATCTTAATTTAAGTTATTTTGGTCATGTAGTGTTTTTTAATTTTCATGCATTTAAAATTTATTGTTATAATTTAAAAATATTAAAATTTATTTTTATTGTGAATAGAACATAAAAATTTATATTGAAGGAGTGGATAATAGGTCCCACATATGTGTTTAAATGAATGGGTATGAATGTGAGTGTGCGTTTAAATGGAGAGAAATTTAATGGAAAGATGATGTGGAGATGATGTGGATGAGAGAGAGACTTTTTGATTGAATGAATAATTTTTGTGTTAAGGATTGTGGATGTCCTAAGACATAATGAAATCACTTAAAAAGGATGTCTATATAAAAAAGTGAAAGACATAATGAAATCACCTAAAATGAAGTCAGTTGACACCTTGAGTGTGCTCTTTTTGAGTTTTTTAGTTTTTATTATATTTATCGCTTCGGAATAGGGGAAAAAAAAAAAAAAAAAAAATTGGTCTATATAGCTGTAGACATTTCAAGGTCTTCTGTAAATTGTCAAAAATATAATCATGTTTAAAGATGCTCTAGAAGACCTGCTTAACTTAAGCCTCCATGGACTGACTGGTTCA